TTATCTGGTATTCGATTAAAGAAAGCTTACAGTGTAGAGACAGATTTATTTGCAGATGAAAAAGAAAGAAAAGAAGAAGAAGAAGAAGAAGAAGAAATAAATAAAAATAAAAATAAAAATAATATAAAAGCAACAGATATTTTAAATAAAATGAAACAAAAAGAAAAAGAAGAGAGACAGAGAAGAGAGAGAGAAGAAGAAGAAAGAAAGAGAAAAGAAAAAGAAGAAGAAGAGAGACAGAGAAGAGAGAAAGAAAAAGAAAAAGAGAGACAAAGAAAACTAAAAGAAGAAGAAGAGAGAAAGAGACAGGAAGAAGAGGAAAAACAAAAAGAAGAAGAAGAAAGAAAGAGAAAAGAAGAAGAAGAAATACAGAAAAAACTAAAAGAAGAAGAAGAAGAGAGACAGAGAAAAGAGAAAGAAGAAGAAGAAGAGAGACAGAAACAGGAAGAGGAAGAGAGACAAAGAAAACTAAAAGAAGAAGAAGAGAGAAAGAGACAGGAAGAAGAGGAAAAACAAAAAGAAGAAGAAGAAAGAAAGAGAAAAGAAGAAGAAGAAATACAGAAAAAACTAAAAGAAGAAGAAGAAGAAAGACAGAAAAAGGAAGAAGAAGAAGAAGAAAGACAGAAAAAAGAAAAAGAAGAAGAAGAAGAAAGAAAGAGAAGAGAAGAAGAAGAAAAACAAAGAAAACTAAAAGAAGAAGAAGAAAGACAGAGAAAAGAAGAAGAAGAAGAAAGACAAAGAAAAATAAAAGAAGAAGAAAGACAGAAAAAGGAAGAAGAAGAAGAAAGACAGAGAAAGGAGAAAGAAGAAGAAGAAAGACAGAAACAGGAAGAGGAAGAGAGACAAAGAAAAATAAAAGAAGAAGAAGAAGAAGAGAGAAAGAGAAAAGAAAAAGAAAAAGAAAAAGAAAAAGAAAAAGAAAAAGATAAAGAAGAAGAAGAAAAAGATAAAGAAGAAGCAGCAGCAGCAGCAGCAGCAGCAGCAGCAGCAGCAGCACCAACGATAGTAATACAAAACGCTGAAGACAGCCGGCGAGCGTTTGAGGCTGCGCTGCGTATGCTGCGTGGTGAGGAGCAGCAGGATGCTGCTGCTGCTGCTGCTGCTGCAGCAGCAGCAGCAGCAGCAGCAGCAGCAGCAACAGATGAAGAAGAAGAAGAAGATATACCGCTGCTGCAGCAGCTAACAGCA